TGGTTGTCTGTCTCTAAGTGTAGCCCTGTGATAGACTGGTTACCTGTCCAGGTGAACCTGCCTTCACCCTGAGTCAGCTGGGATAGACTCCAGTGAGGGTTAAGCGGTGTGTAGATGATGGATGGATGTTCTCACAGCCATGAAAGCACACAACAAAAACACAAACCCCAGGTGTGCTCCCTCTTTCTAATGGAGCCCCTATTCCCCTCCGTCGCTCTCCTCGTTGGTTTCACTGCCGGTCCCTTGAACGGGCCTCTCCTCAGCCCCGTCAGCAGACCTCTCCTGATGGAGGCTACAGCAGGTGGGGACCAGAAGACAAATTTCACGGTCCAAAACCCCCACAGCCCTAATGTTTGGTGGCCTGCTCCCAGTCCTGATGGTCTTGATGTCGAGGTGCACACGGAGGCTGGTGCAGGGTCCCCAGTGTGTGGCCTCATCCTGGTCATCTTCTGGTCACGTTTTCTTTATTTAATGTGTATCAAGAGGAGACGATTCCTTTTATTTACACATGTAAGAACATTTATTTTGTGTTAACCTGTGAGCCTTGAAAAAGAGGCTGAAGTGGTTCGACTCAGATTAAATATTTTTTCTCTATATTGACCAAAATAAACATTTTATGGTGATATTCTTGTACGTTATATCTCCCAGCATTAGCAGTTAGCATGTGCCTGTTTTACTGTTGGGGGTTGTGTGTAGACTGGATGTTTTTTCAGCGAGCAGACGGTGTTAGAACTGCGTACTCCACCTTTAATCCAGTTACTGAACATGCACGATTAGTGACCACACTGTGATTTTACTTTTGTGTTTATCAGTCAGTCTTTTGTTATGTTTGTTATTGAGCTGAGCCTTCAGGGAATCAAGTCCAAGTCTCACGTCTACGGGTCTAATCGCCACATTCCCTTTGCCTCCTCCTCCTCCTCCTCCTCCTCCTCCTCCTCCTCCACCAGCAGCCTGCGCCCCATACTGCTTTGGTAGCCTTGGTTGCAAAGGCGAGGATGAAAAAAAGCAGAACCGGTCCTCCAGTCCTTCACGTCTCCATGCTGTGGCAGTAATATAGAAGAATCTTAATCTCTTGAGTGCTCCATGGGAGTTATTTTTCTCCCACTCAAAGTCACTGGAAAATGCACAGCTGCAGTTCAAGCCTCGACTTTGAGGCTTTCACCTTGTGCCCCCTTCCTCTCGCCTCCTGGTTTTATTTTCGCCCGGTCCGCTGTAGCTTAAGTTACACACACGCTACTTAACATACTGCGTGACACGTACAAACTCTCCGGCACCAACGGGAGGTGCTACGCAGAGCTGCTGTCAGTGCTGAATGTTAATTGAAAGCCTCTCTCTCTCTCTCTCTCTCTCTTCGTCTTTCTCAGGCTTTCTGTCTTTGTTTTAGGTCTTTAGTGATACGCTCAGCTCCTCCTCCTCCTCCTCCACCTCCCCGGGCTCCGGGCTTGGCTTGCATCCTGGTCTTTGGAATTCATGTGTCCCGCCCTATCGATTTGCTTTCATTTTTTAAGGTCAGAAGCTGAAATCTTACACAATGAGGCATGGAGGGTCAAAATCGGCCCATTACTTACAGTGCCGGGCAAAAAGGCAGAAAGGGAGGTTATCCAAGGGGAGAGGAGAGAGTCCCCGAGGATGAAGAACGGACCGGGTGCTGAAGGTCTCGGAGGGACGGCAAACTGTGCGGTGGGTGGTTTTAATGGTGGATTCTTGCAGACCTCAGGGCGGCTTTTGTTTTTATTTTACGCCTGGCAGAAAGTGTAAAGGGTGCAAAAGTTTAGATATGCAAAGACAAGAAAAACGGACCAAAGAGAAGGCTGCTGGATCCAATCCCGCTGACCACATGTTGGTATGAAAACAGCCTGTTAATGAGTCTGATCCAGTGATGCTGATGTATGTGCATGAAACGGCAGCAGCATGTGAGCGTCGACGTTCACAGGAGAGAAATTAACGAGCACTCAGGCTTTTGTTTTAATTTCTCTCGGGTTCGGCTGCACTGGAGGTTAACAACCGAGCTGGTTTCTCTTCCCGGACAGTTTGGTGGCTGCTGTTTACCCTCGGCCTGTCAAATATCGGCTGCACGTGTCGGGACGATGAGGACTGAATACAGCACTTGACAAAGGGTATTATAGCAAAGAGAGAGAGAAAAAAATCTAAATGGAAAGAGTTAAAAAGAGAAGCAGAAGAGTGTGGGAGAATAGCTGGTTATGACACTTCAGAAACCTCCAGGTGGTAAATGAGAAAAACCTCCATCCTCCCTCCTCCCTACCCAGCTGTGACATGCCGCTACAGAGGCTTACTGGGGATTTCAATTTGCCGCACTGTATTTTAGACAGGCAAAATGGTTTACACAGGCCCAATTTACCGAGCCAGCCGTGCAGGGGGGTTCACAGCCTCTGTGACATGCCAGGGAATGTTTATGAGTGTATTAAGTGAGGATGATAAATCTAGCGTGCGCTGCATAGGCTGAGGGCGCACGGCGTGGCGCTGTATATCCACACACCCACACAAGGACAACACGCCGTCTTTTACAGACCGCAGCTAGCCTTCTTTGTCACTGAAAGGTCCCGTAAATGGTCTGAATCTACTGCGTGCATTGTGTTAAATCCTTGTTTTGCATAAACAGCACCTTCCCGGCGTATAAAAACGTGATGTGGCGTCGTCAGCGTCCCGTGAAAACCGTGGCGCGATAACCGTTCACGAGCTAATCCATTTGGTTAATTAAAGGTTTATTTAACTTAGCAGTTCAGGAACGTTCCCAACCCATCAGAGGACACGTAACCCTTCAGCTAACCTGAAAAATGAAAACTATGAAGATAA